GCAAGAGGCAGGGTAACTTTAGGATTGTTTCCACCTATGTATACCAGTACTAACTGATGGAAGACTCCCAAGACTGGTTTCAGTCAGGATTCTTTCTAGTCTCATGTAGAGATTTCTGACATTTCCTGGTAGCCATTCATCCAAGTACTAACCAGACCCAACCCTGCTTAAGCTAAAACCAGATGACATCAAGGGTATTTACAGTGGTATGGTGGTATTAACATGTTTAATGTTAGTTAGCACGGCTAAGTGCTATTTGGATGCAGTTTTCTTCCTCTGGCCCTCTGGATCCACAGATTCTGCATCCATGGATTCAACCATCCACAGCTTGAAAATATTTTTTAAAAAATTAATTCCAAAAAGCAAACCTTGCTTCTGCCATTTTATATAAACGGCACTATTTTACTACATCATTCTACATAATGGGACTTGAACATCCATGGATTTTGATATCCATGGGGGTCCTGGAACCAAATCCCAGCCGGTACCAATAGCTTACTATATGTGGGGCCTTTTCCAAATTGAGAAACAATTTGGTCGCAGTACCAGATCTATTAGTGTCTGTCATTCCATGGATTCAAAAATAAGGCTTTCTCTAATTAATTTCCTTTGGGAAAAGAGAGAAAATTGGATGTTATATTTCAGGATATATCCTAAAAACAAGGTTTTCTTTCATTAATTTCCTCTGGGGAAGAAAGAAAAAGATTGATGTTTTATTTCAGGATATGATCTCCAAAATTTTAGAAAATGGTCAAGCTGGAAACCTATATCAGGTCCCTTGGAATGCAAGTTCAGAAACTTCTTGGGCCTTATATAAATTCATAGGTTTGTTCGGCATGACCAGACAATGGAGCTTCCATGTTTGGCAAAAGCATACCTGTAAATACTAAGCCTTACAGATAAACAATGGAATCAAGCTTGCCACTTTTATATCCTACTTGTAAGTTTTACATCAACATGAGGCTGACCTCTGTTGAAGGCAGGATGTAGATGGGAGTTTTGACTGGAACAGGAGACTTTTCTTATTTTCTATCAAAGTGAGCAGTATAATTTGAAAACAGCTTGGAACCGTTAGGATAATATGGTTGTATAAGAACATTATACAAGAGCTTGGAAAACTTCCTTTTTCAGAGTACAGATCCCAGACACCACTCCACTAATCAGCATGAGAACAGACTAGCTGGATGGGGGATGCTGGGAGATATAGTCCACAAAATGAACTTTTCTAGGTTCTGAAGGGGGGGAAGCCTCACATGATAAGGTCGAGAAATCATGCCGTATGAGGAGCAGCTTAAAGAGCTGAGTATGTTTAGCCTTGGGAAGAGAAGGTTAAGGAGTGACATGATAACCTTGCTTACATATTTGAAGGGATGTCATATTAAGATGGAGCTCATTTTCTGCTGCTCCAGAGACTAGGATACGGAGCAACAGATGCAAACTACAGGAAAAGAGATTCCATCTAAACATTAGGAAGACTCTCCTGATGGTAAGAGCTCTTCAACACTGGAAGACGCTGCCTTGGAGAGTGGTGGAGTCTCCTCCTTTGAAGGTTTTCAAACAGAGGCTGGATGGCCATGTGCAAGGAGTGCTTGAATTGTGTATTCCTGCATGGGAGAATGGGATTGGATTGGATGGCCCTGTGATTCTATTATGATTCCAACTCTATGATTCTATGAAAAGAGCATATAAAACCAATGCATATTGGTGATATGTGTCCAGTATGATGATGATTAATTATTGAACTTAAATGTGCATAAAACACCAACAGGATGCCAGTCACTGTGCTGAATAAGAATACTGTATAACTGAATGAATCATAGAATTTTAGTTGGAAGTTATCGCAAGGATCATCTAGTCTACCCCCTTACTATACTAGCTGGCTCTTATGGTCCCTTCCAATTCCCAGTTTATATGATTCTATGAATGGCCAACTGAATGCACAACCAAATGTGCCTGTGCATGCATGTACATACCCACACGCGCACTTGCGTGCACAAGGGCACCTCATATGCAACTCTGCTTCTTCAACCTTGAGCTGGATGTGGACTTTCCTCACACCAACAGGATTCCAGCCATTGCCTCTGTACCAGCTTCCTGGGTTTTCTCCCCTGAAATACAAAACAAGACAGCATAGCATGAAAAATCATGGCACGATCACCCTCCGCCAGTAGCCAAAAACTTTGCTGGCCACTCTGGCCCATAAAAACTGCTTTGCAAAGGCTGCACTTCCCACACAATGGCTGTTTTGTGGGTCTGCCAGAGAGCCGAGGAGACTTGCTGAAAGACAATGAGAAGCTATTCTTCTTGGCAAATCGGGCCGAGGCAATAGACTCTCTTGGAATTTGCAAAAATTGTCTCATACTTTGCCCGCACATCTTACCTCTACCCCAAAAAATCAATCTCATGTAGAGTGGCTCAATCCACAAATGGGATTCTGATCTCGTCCATCCCTAAAGAAAGAAAGCATTGCCTGGCATCCTGTTGGTGTTTTAGGCATGCATAAGTTTCCTTAAGCATAGGATTCTACTTGTTGGATCGTGTCTGTACTCAGTTCACAGTTTCATACATGGAGTTCAGCAAATGTAGCTGTAGCGCTGGCAGCCGCACATTCTTGGATGGTTCATAAGTACTTCTCAGTGTCTTCAATGTACCCCATGAGTCACTGGGATTGTGGAAACAGCAAGCACAGATGCACACTTGGTTGCACAATGTTGTTATTCAGCTGAAGGGTGCTGTAGCTCAACCACCACTTAACTGCACCGTGTGTAGGTTTACACTTTGTAAGCATTGTGTAG